AGAGAGAGAGAGAGAGAGAGAGAGAGAGAGTTCGTACTTGCGAGTCTGTCTTCAAGAGGGGTTCCCGCTGCGAAGAATTCAAGAATCTTCTTTACGTTATCGACCACTTTGCGGTCCTCTTCTGTAAGGCTCGGGGAAAGAGTAAGAGGCCGAACAGCTCCGGGAAGTCGGAAGGGGAAGATAACGGCCTCCATGCCAAACACGGACACTAGCTTGGCCAGACGGTCTCTTGAGACTGCATCAATGCTCTTTACCAGCTGCACAAAATGTCAACGAAACCACACAACTCATAAAACTCAGTGACCATCACTATCACCGTCACCATCATCCATCACAAACACCCATCATCATGAATGAAGACACCCCTGAATCACCCCACAAAGGACAAGGTCCCAAATAGCAGATCTATTTAGGGTCCACATAGCAGATCTATTTATTTAGGGTCCAAATAGCAGATCTATTCCTAAATAAAAAACATGTTCAATTACCGACGCGTCTGCCCTTGTGCGGCGGCAATGTGTGCCCAGGCATTGAGTTAAATGTTCTCTTACATGATTGTTTGAATTTGTTTCCACGGCACTGGACCCGAACCCAGAAGCAATCTGGGTCGGATTCAGACTTGGGTCCCAATCTAATCCACCCCGTTCCCCCCCAGCAAAAAATAAAAATAAAAATAAAAAAAATCCAACCCATGGGAGTGCCAAACGAAGTACTTTTTCAATTTCCCCTTTCGTTATATCGTTCATAAAATCTGCTGCAAATTCCGTCATAACCCCCTTACACAGACTCTTTTTGACACAGGCTCTATTTTCACCTTTCCCTAGGAAAATCAATGCGCTTGGGCGCTTGCCCGGGGGATCCGCCCCTGTTGTTGTTTTTTGCGCCCGATGGGGTGTTTGTCGTCAACGCGAGAAGCCCAACTCTGGGGTCATTTTCGTTTTTCAGCTTTGTTCATTTTCCGAGTGGAAGTGAAAGGAGGTATATAAATAACATTTAAACTGTAAAGCCACTACTATGTTGAGCCAAGCAAGCTTCAGTACCTTCACTACGTCCTTGGCGTCAACATTGAGTCAAAACTTAAGAGTCACCGGAGACGGCAGGTGAGAGGGGGCTGTTAATTAGACTTCATGCCGCCAACCATCCATAGTGGAAGTCAAACTGCCATTGACCAGATCGGCAGACGGTCAAAATGTTTGACCGTTTGACGGCAGGGGAGGTCGGGAAGTCAAACTGTTAGTTATACAGAGTGCCATATCGATGAAGTTGCAGAACGGCACACAGAATGTGTGGCATCCACACCAAGAGGAGGCTGTAGGCGTAAGGCAACAACCTCTGGCAGTCGTACCACGTTGGGCGGCTGCCCATATCACCCCCTCCAGTAAGGACTGCAGGTCTTGGCAAAAAAAAACAACAAAAACAAAACAGAAAAAAAACAACCTGATGCATGAGGACGACGCCTTGATGAAGTTACAAAATGAAGGCCCCCTCTGCTAAGGAGGGCCTGTAAGTGGCTGGGACTGCTGCTGCAGGGTACAGATGATGAAGTCGAATTGACAGACACCAACTGAAAGCTCAGTATTTGAGGGATTTGTATGAAGCCTTCTTTATTTTCCTTTTAATTTTGAAATGGCTAAGACGGCAACAGGAAATGTGAGGGCATCCATGCTCGATCGAGCGATATATGTGAAGCCAAGGATCCGCAAAGTGATGAAAAGGACTCGAATGGACAATGCAGCGTCAGAAAAGCATCAACAAGCAACATACACCCAGATACATACGAAAATAGCACAATGTAGCGCAGCGGAAGACTCAAGGATATGACCTGACCTGTCAGATACTGACGCGACATCCGATTGTACACCACACATGTGAGAGAGAGGGTAGGGACCACATACATAGACGAAAGGTCCCTCCTTAAGCATGCACATGGGGAGATAACCATGGATGAGGAGATGGGGGAAGAGGCAAGACGAAGATGGAGATGAGGGAGAAGACCAAGATCGCGATAGCGAGTCCAAAAATAGTCTCCCTGCTGAATGTCCAATCAATGTCTGCAACAGAAATGTCAAATCAGATCCCGGGCTTTAAGGCCCGATGTAACCTCTGCCTGTAACCTCTCTCTCTCTCTCTCTCTCTCTGAAAGAAGAAGAAGAAGAAGAAGAAGAAGAAGAAGAAGAAGAAGGAAAGAAGGAGAAGAGATGGAGGGCGAGAACAAGAAGAAGAAGAAGATGTCCCCCCCCTCGCTGTCTCACCTGCAGGTAACTGCCGCCATGTACTAACTGCCGCCAGCACGTCTGATGCAGGTTGCTGGCGTGAAGTCCAGCTATGGCGCC